TACGTAGAAGATTCTCACTGATTGCGTTAGCTAGAGGACAAACATAGTGACTAATCTTCACCTAATATGAGCTTTTTAAATTTTAAAAGTGAATATAAATAGGGACATGATGGCATTGTTTAAGTTACTTTTGAGTACCAATAAAAGAAAAATTGTTTAAGTTACTTTTTGGTGAAGAGGCACTTTGTATGTCTCTTCAAAGGTTGCAAGTGTTTTAATTTGACACAATTTGTAAGAACACAAAATTGTTGTAGTTACTTTTTTATCCAAATAATTCAGATTCGCATAGAACAAAAACATCTCTTTTATCTCATTTTCTTTATGTTTCTTTTTGGAGCTTCATGACAGTGCTACTTAGCTATTAAAAAAATTAATAGAATATAGTGTAGTAATTACGTGGAAAAGTGGATATATAATAGTAATATATTTTGGCTGTAGTAAGTGAGAAAAGTGTCATGGTGACAATGAAATACTGAGTTTTATTATAGGACTTGATTTGTGACTGATCAAGACATTTTTTAAAGTTTAAAATGTTTGTTCAAAAGCAAAAACAGGATAAGATCGATATTTGGTAGTATCTTTTATCAGCTTAAAAAAAAAGAGAATATTTGGTATCTTTTGTCCTAATTTAAAACGATAGAATTTTGAGAAGTCATTGATTAGAGTTTGGTATCAAGGAAAATATTATTCACAAAGTTTTCTTAGAATATATTTTTCAAAACAATATGTAATTTTTTAATATATATATATAAAAAATTCGAACACTAAGTGGGGGCTAGGGTAGGCTAGCAATGAGAGGATGGTGGGACATTGGGCTATGGAGGATGCAGAGAGATCAGCTGGTAGACCCTACGAGTCATTCGATCAGTGCAAATTGCAACCAGATAGACAAGAATATTCGGAAAGGATTTGTATAGTTAATTTTATTATTTAGTATGTATGGCAGGATAAATTATAATAATGGGATAACTACCGATATGTATTGGAACAAAAAGAATGGGTCCCATGTACATGCATCGATATTGTATACCATGTATATCTGATATATAAAAGAAGGAAAAATGATCTGATATATCCCTCAATTTTGTCATTTAGAGTCGATATATTCCTTGTTATGAAAGTAACTCATATATACCCCTACTTATATACAAATGGCTCACATATACCCTTTTTCTCTAACGGAAATGGAAAAAAATTAATTTTAGTTTAATTTTTTTTTTTTTTTTTTTTAAAGAAATATAATCCCATATGGGTATATTTAATCCTCCTCAAACATATTTTTTTGACTTTTTTTTGTTTCAATGACTAATTTAGATTTATTATTTTGATAGTCAAATTTATTTATATTTCACTAATGTTCTTGTAAAACTTATTATAGATGACCAATTTTTTTCTTCAAATACAAAAATTAAATTACAATATAGACAAAAAAAATAGTTTTAAATTATAATATAACCACAAAAAAATAGTTTTAATTTTTTTCTCTTTACAATAAGGAATGAAAGAAAAAATAAAATCAGAATAAGAAACTCAAATAATGATAATCAAAGAAGTCAAAAAATAATTTATGTATGAAAAAAAAATATATATACCTTGAACTTTGCTAGAAGAATCATATATACCCCTAATTTTTTCACTTCCGTTAAATGAAGGGTATATGTGAGCTCATTTTGTAACGGTAGGGGTATATGTGAGCCGTTTGTATAACGGTAAGGGTATATATGAACCACTTTTATAACGAGGGGCATATCAACTCCAAATGACAAAGTTGAGGGGTATATCAGACCCTTTTCTCATAATAGAATATATTATGTATATATAATGTATTGATATCGTATAAATAGTGTATATCAATGAATATTTGAAGAAGCTTTAGTAGTTAATGAAATCTTTTAATTCCGACTAACTCAAAATCATTTTTAAATGGTCTAAAAGTTACATATGAGCACATTTGGATGTTTCGAGTTTTCTTGTTGTTTGATCTGTGAGATGAGATAAATAAAATTATATTTTATGAGTTTCAATCTTATTTTTTTTACGTGAAATAATTAATTTCATCATTTTATAATATAAATAGTGAGATAAAATAAATTCAAAATTAATTAATACTTATAACCAAATATAGAATAATTTTTTTTCATTTTATTCTGAAATTATTATTTTTACCTTACCAACCATGCAACCTCTATGGATATAGTGTCGATTGTTGGAATTTTAAGGTAAAAAATGAAAAATAAGAAAAAATACTTTTGAATTGCACTTAAAAACACCTTTTAGATTATACCTCTTCATCTTATTCTTTTTATTGTCTATAAATAAATTCAAAGATACACTGAAGCACCGAAATTTGGATTCTTTCTCCCCTCTAACTGTTATCTGCATTTGTTTTAAAAAAAACATAAAATTTAGTTAAGTCTCGTGATTTATTCTATACGTTGAGTTCACTAAAGTTTTTTAATTTGAATTGCCGCTATTACAAATAGCTTATTTTGTTCTATCGTTGGTGAAATTAATTGATCCAAAATCTCCAACAATAGCGAGGGAATTAATTTCCTTAAAGACACGTAAGAAAATTGTGCTCAAATTTTTTATTTTATGTTAATATTTTCTATATTCATCTTACTTTTTGTTTTTGGAGGAAACTAAAACCTTTGTAATTTTCTATTTCTATTTTGGAGATAAAATCCATGTCATTTTCTATTTTATTTTATCACCCAATTTGAAGATATAAAAATTTCATCATTTTATTAGATCGGATTAAAAAAAAACGATAACAGAATTAAAAAAATTGATTCATCATTTTATTAATAAATTATTTTCAAAATTAGAATTTCAATTTATTTACAATATAAGCAAGTAATCTTTTAAAAATTTATTACAAAATATATATATGATACGTTCATGATTTGTAGATCATAGAACAACCGTTGTTTTTTAAATTTTTTTAAATATTTCTCTCTCAAATAACATAGGAGGAGTGTCAAGGACCCTTTTCTACTTTATTTTTAATTATTATTATTATAACAATTAAACCAACGTACGTAATATCAGAAAGACAAAAAAAAAAATAATAAACCTCATGTTTTTTTAATTATAAAAATTAGCCGTTTACTCATCAATGTTAGGTCTACTGTCTATATATTGAATAAAATGAAATTGATTGTTAAATAGTATGTGGTTTAGGACAATGAAATACCATATGTTGTGGTAGGTCAGGATTTACATTTCATGAGTTTAATCTTTTATGTTTTTTTCGGTCATGATTGATTTTTGCATTATAGGTTCAACATTTGATATTTATTAGAATTTTAGTAATTTATCATATACTCCCTTGTTCCTAATTATTTGTCCACTTTTTCTTTTTTAGTTGTCCCTTATTACTTGTCCATTTTTGACAAATCAAGAAAGGACAAAATATTTTTACCTATTATACCCTCAATTAATTACTTTGAAAAAAGATAGAACTTCTTGAAAATCTCAAGTTTTTAATTTATCTCTTCATAATTAATAGGGGTAAAAATGGTAAACTCACTATGTCAATAATTACTTTTTAATAGGTGTGTCAATTCAAAAGTAGACAAGTAATTAGGGAAAGAGGGAGTATCTATTTAGACCCCGTATAAAAAAACCACTAATTCTAATCGTTGAAACTAAAGTGCATATTCTTCCCTGATATCATTGGATTTAGGTGTGTCCACGGTTTGGTTAAAAATCGATTCAAATCGAATTAAAACGATAAAATAAACCAATTTTATTTAGATTTGATTTTGTTTGGTTTTAGATTTTTAAAAATCGACAGTATTAGGTTTGGTTATGATTTTATTCGAAAAAATCGAAGAAATAACCGAACTAAACCTATAAATTATATACATAATATTTTTATTGATATACATACTTAATATATTATTTCTATAAACAATTTTAAAGATCTTATATATGTTTTCATCAAAAAAATAATTAAAATTTACTTATTGAAAGCAAAAAGGCCTAAGGTGAAAACATTTATGTTATTGATTTCATGTATATGAGTGTCTATGACAATTCTTTTTGTGGGATTGAAAATGTTACTGTATCTTCTTTCTAGGACAAAATAGTGAATTTTAAAGTTGTATTCATGTAAATTCAGTGATAGAAAGTTCAGTAATGTCAGTCATTCTAACTATTTTTCGTTTTGAATGGATTGTTGTCACTTTTTTCACATTTTGAATAAATTGTTTCTTTTATTTTTGTGTATGATTAATAACCGAATAACCAAACCAAATCAAACCAAACTGAAACCGATAACCACCAAACCGATAAATATATATTATAATTGGTTTGGTTTGATTTTGATAATTTTAAAACCGATTAAGTTGGTTAAGTTTTGATTTTACCTAATAACCGATCCAAACCAACCCGTGAACACCCCTAATTGAATTAGTATAGTATATAGAAGATTCTCATTGATTGAATTGAATTAGCTGACTGACAAGCATAATTAATCTTTGCCTAATCTGAGATTTTAAGTTTAAACACATGTTGGCATTAGTTTAAGTTAATCTTTGCCTAATCTGATCCCTTGAGTCTTCTTAATGTAATAATATGAGTAATGCTTCATCCTTTAATTTGCACCTAGCCAGGATGTTCAAGACAAATAAAAAAAACTATTTTTTAATTTGATCTAGGATCCTTGTGGCTCTATTTCTTAAAGTTTTTTTTTAAAATAAAATAAAATACTTTTGCCATGAATTATGAAGTAAAAAGCGGGAAAATGCCACTCTGAGATACAAGTAAAATTTATATTATTTTAAATTTTAGCTTCTCAAATAGATAAATTCTTGGATTATAACCTCAAAAGTTTCAAAGTTTGAATTTATTTGAAATGATTTCCCTTATGATTTTAGTTGATTTTATGATATGAACTACTTGTATGATTGAAAGAAGTTGCTATTGTTTTATAAAAAAAAAAAATCGCAAAATATTTGTATGGATACGAATCGCCTAATAATTGGAAATTATCAGAAGCAAGGCAACAAGATTATTTATTAATGTCAATTTCAAACACTGAAACTACAATAAAAGGAAATAACAACGAAAATAAAATGATTGAATTATCAAATTAACTAGGACTAAAATCAGGCATGTGAATTGGCAATATGGAGAAGAGTAGTAAAAAGTTGTTGAGGCTTAGACATCATGACCATGTGATCAGAGCCTAAAATCTCTTCCACTTCATCAGGTGGATTATTTTCAATCATCCAATGTTGAAATTCTTTGTTCAGAGCTTTACTTTCAGCAACAATAATGAATACCCGCTTAACTGATCCGTACCTTTTTCTTGAAAGAACTATCTCCTCATAAATATTTTCCACAGGATATAAATATAGCGGTCTTACTAATTTAGTAGCCAGCTTCAAATCCTAACATCAACAAGGCAAAAAACTTAGTTTATATCAATTCCAAGTTATTATTACGATCAAGTACTTGATTAATAAATTTGTAATATTAATCTGCTTACCTTAATTGGGCTCAGCTGGTAAAGATTAGTTTCCATGAACTTGGGACCTAGGATGAGTGTGGTTGGAGGATTCCCAGGTCCATTGTCGTATGTAACGTGATTATCAAGTTCAGGTATTATTGCACTACATGTCTATAACAAAAAAAAGTGTATTTCTTTCTTAAATTTCATGTCGAATCAAATTACTTTTCATTTTTTATAAAGGGAGTAACTTTCTAAATAAATTGAGATTATAATAATTATTATTTTTATTTGTTAAAAAATGACAAGTAAAACGAGTGCAATACCTTAGTGTAGACTGTAGTTACATTGAAAGTTGGACCAGGCATTAAAGCAGCGATAAATACAGCAACTGAAATGTTTTCTGGAAAATTTTCCATGGCTTTAGAGATGCCGAGTCCAGCAAAGCTATGGCCTACCAGAACTATTTTTTCATGTGCAGGAAGTGAAGCCATGAACTTCATTAGCGGACTCAAATAATCAGAAAAAGTTGTGATTTCGAGGGCCTGTTTGGAGTTGGTTCCTGAAGCACCCAAGTCAAGAGCTGTAACATTATGCCCTGAAGATTTCATCAATTCTACAATCTTATACCAACACCAGGCTCCATGACATCCCGTATGAAGTAGCACAAAGTGCTTCTTAGCTTTGGGTTGTGACAAGCTTTTTGCACCTAGTGATGGGGTTTTCAGTGAGCACATAGTGAGGCTTAATGAGGCAACATGCTTATTTGCCTTTTCACTTCCAAATAAGTTCAATCCACTAATTTTGTTCGTCACTTTGGCTCTTTTGTAGAAAGATTTTCTTCCTGTGCCTATAATGGCTGATGGACTTACTATTGCTGCTGAAAATGTTGTCATTGTTGCCTCACCACCAACCTATACAAAATAAATAAATCATTGAAGTTACAAGTTTATTGGAAAAGAAAGAAAGAACATTTTTACCTAATTGTGATGGCTTGTGGAGTGCTCTAATCTTGGATAATATAATGAGGCATCTTATCATAGCTCATCAACTTGCCCGAGCTCATTTGGATTGATTTTTAAAAAATAGCTTTAAAAATAAAAAATAAAAAAAAAATAAAGAAAAAACCTACTTTTCATTTTAAACGTTTTTTCAAGTTATTCTAAACTCATTTTAAATCTTATCAAATATTTTCAAAAACTAAAAATGATTTAAAAATAAATTGACTAATTTTCTTGCCAGAGCTCATTTGGATTGATTTTTTTTAAAAAAAAGCTTTAAAATCAAATAAATAAATAAAAAATAAGAAAAAACCTACTTTTCCTTTTAAACGTTTTTTTCAAGTTATTCTAAACTCATTTTAAATCTTATCAAATATTTTCAAAGATTTTAAAATAAATTTGACTAATTTTTAAGACCATCCAAATGGAATCTAAAACAGACCATGTTCCTTTTATACAAATTTAGATAAAGAATTATATAGTTTGTCCTTTGTTTTACTTAAAAAAGAATTTTTAATAAGTCATCCACGTGAACAGATCCATTACCCCTTACTATCTGACTCACTGCTGCGCTTCAAAGATGTGATCAAACATTTTTGGTCTTTGGAATTGATATTTAGGGTGTGTTTGGTAGGTACGAAAACATTTTTTCGTGGAAAATGTTTTTCTAGAAAATATTTTCTTGAAAAATAAATGAATTTCTAACTTATTTTTTCATGTTTGGTTGGTAAGTAGAAAATATTTTCTGGAATTTTTTTTAATGTTTGATTGGTAAATGAAAAATATTTTTCAAAAAATATCTTTATTTTTGGCTTTAGACTAAAAAATACTCTTTAGAAAAATAATTTCTGATCCAAAAATTAACCCCGATAATTAATCTAGGACCCGACCCTAACACCCAAACTAGGATAAGATCCCGATGACCGTTCCAAAATCCGACCCTGAGATTTGACCCAGGACCTGACCTAGGAAAACAATTTCAAAGACAATGAAAAAAAAAATTGACTTTTAATTTTTTTTTGATGGGGTGGCCTGGGTTGGGGGGGGGGATAGGGGTGAGGTTAGTGAAAAAGATGAAATTTTTTTAAATTTGAAATATTTCTCAAAAAAAAATTCTTAAAAATGGCCGGGGAGAGGGGGTGGCATAAAAAATGAAAATTTAAAATTTGAAATATTTTGGTAGGAGTTGGGTGAGGTAAAAAAAATCTTAAAATTTGAAACACTTTTCAAAAATAATTTTTAAATTTTTACTTTATTTTGTTTGAGGAGGGGGGGAGGGGGTTGGAAGTAGGGATAAAAATATATTTGAAATTTTAAAAATAAGAAAATTAAAAAAAATTAATTTTTTTTAATGGGGAGGGTCGGGTACCGGGTATGTATAGGGTGAGAAAAAAAATTAAAGGATAAAGTAGAGTTTTAGAAAATGTTTTCCTTAATTTTGGAAGGGAAGTCATTTTCCTTAAATTTGAGGAAAATGAGTTGATTTGAAAAACATTTTCCAAACATTTAAGCCAACCAAACATGAAAAAATTGGAAAACATTTTTCAGAAAATGTTTTCATCCATATCAAACACACCCTTAAATATTTTCTTTCCGTTGTTATTTTCTTTGATGGCAATTTCAAATATTGAAATTGACATCGATACTCATAAATAACCTCTTTGTTATATTTCTGATTTGGAATCGAAAAAGATATTTTGAGAATAAGAAAAAATATTTAAAATAAAATAATAAAAGCCTTGGTCAAGCCAAAGTGTTTATAATTTGAAAATTCTTAAATTACATAGGAATGCCCAACTTATAACTTTTGACTAATATCAAGTTATAAATACTTTAAATATTTATCAAACACGTAAATTTTATATATAAAAAGTCATACTATATCAGATTATATACATACTTAGACATAGAAAGAAATACTTAGTACCTATAGGGAATAAAAGAATCATAAGATTTTATCCATGCTATTTTTGTTTACATTCATGCTAGTAGCATAAAAATGAAATTTGTTCAAAAATCTTTGCATAGCATAAGAAAAAGAGCTTGGAAGCATAAACAGATTTGATTCTGTTTCAAAACAGGGTTGCGGATAATTATGCAGTGAATACTCTATAATTTTTTAAGATAGATAGAGCATTTTTATATTCTAAATATTCTTGTATTCTATACATTTTCGTTTCATGTATTGCAAATATTATTGCATCATAACTATGGTTAGTATGTAAGCGGACATTTTATTAAAGTCCCAAGAAAACAAAATCCTTATAATCTTGAAAAAGATAATGGTAATTTCAAAAGAAAATACTTAGAAAATCTAAGAAAAATTACTTGTAAGTGTCTTAATCTAGAAAAGATTAAAGAAAATTTACAAAGATCTTATGGAGAAAATCCATTAGAAAAATGGGAACAAAACCATGAAAGGGCAACTTTAACCTTAAAAGACCTTAGCATAATTATCAGAGTCAGACCCATGCTCTATAATGAAGATGACAAAATTAAATGTATTGATTAGTGTGAAGTAATTATCTCTCTAAAATTTTACTCTGCCTCCTCTCTGCGTTTTAAAATCCTTACCTATAGACAACCATGTGATCTGCATGTTTTCTGATCTTTATTTTTTTTCCAACAATTTCGTATGTACCTACATCAAATAATCGCCTCTTGTTCCTTATTTGTATGCAGTTAGTCGTTTAATTCGCTGGGATTCATTTTTTTTACTCGTGAAATATTTTTAAAGATAGTGTTCCTAATACGTATCAAGCAATGAGATTTTTCATAAAATCTCCGACAATTCAAATCTATACGCAATGATAAAATATTTGAAGTCGAACTTGGAAAATGTTATCTAAAAATTAAAGAGATAATAACGGTATTAAGCATATCTTTGACCAACTAATTTATAAAATATGTACAAAATGTATGTTATGTATATTTATATTTAAAAAATATATAGATAAACACTTAAACTTAGCTCGACTAATAGTTAAACACCCCAACTTTCATTGTGATCATCTAAACACTTAAGCTTAGGGCCTAGTTTCATTTTCCCAATACTAGTTATGTTGTATTTATCACTCAAATTATTAGTAAAAAAAAGGCATAGAGAATATTATATTATGTGTAGTTCCAATTATTAACTCTGAAGAAAAATCACATGATTCATGACAGTTCCCTTTCCGATTAATAAACACCATACATTTGTGTAGGGGTGTATATAGTCGGGTTGGTTCGGGTTTTTCAATTATCAAACCAAATTATTTGTGTCGAATTTTTAAATCTATAAACCAAATCAACCAATAAAACTCGGGTTTTTCAACCTCAGATTTTTTTGGGTTTTCAGGTTTTTCCGCCAAAGTATTCATACAAACGTATAATTTACTTGTACTTTAAATATTTCTTTAGTCCTACCAAAATACAACTATTTAAGGTGTTTCTTAAGAATACAACACAAACAATGATATGATTAATGACACTAAAATATCCAAAAAAAATAAAATAATAATAATGAAATCGCGTAAAACAAATATTGCAAATTAACAAGTCATAATGAAAATGATCATAATTTAAAAGTACTAAATCATGCTAAAATAAGTTTAATAAGTATTAGTTACATGACTAAATATTAAAGGAAATTCAAATTAGATTATGTACTTTAATTGTCTAAACCAATGTAAAACCAAAGAACAAATATTCAATATTATTGTCATTCTTAGTGTTGAATTGATTTTCTTTTTGCATTAGTATTAATTTGATTTTGATTTAAGCTTTATTATAATTACCAACATATGTGGACTATAATCTTTATTG